AGTATGTCTTTTTGATGTGATCATGAATAATAATCATTGGGTGCGCGAGGATTATACGTGGACTGGGTCAACACTTGGTTTTTGGACCCATGGCTGAATGCAATTCCATGCAGCGATCAGTTCAATATCGCGATCCTTTCTAACTCGTCGGGGATTGCCGCATGACCCAAGAAGACATCTATAAATAAACTTACGCGCGTACGATTCACGACCTCATCCTCATCCCCAATTTCGATAGAAGGAACAAAATTGTTCCTTCTATTTGTCTGTCCATGGGAGACTTGAACCAAACCCTGGAGATGTTTACGAAAGAATATTATCAGAGTTCGGTTCGAGACTGCCACAACTCATGCACGTCGCAAATGTTTTATGCCGAAGTCACTTATGATAGGGTGCTCGCTATGCCATGCGCGCAGTATATGAACTCGTACTGAATTCCAAGAAAAGCTGGCTGTAGGATCTTGACGGGCCCACGTTTGGGAGTCAGAAGGACTTCGGGTGAGACTTGCTTGCACACCAGTCTATATGATGTCGGTGCTGATGATTGAATCTTGATTCCGATGCTGATCTTGCGTTCACCATCAATTATTGTTTCTTCGTATCGGCAGCACGTCTCTTGGAAATCGGGAGTTGATCAAACCGTCCTGGCCGCTCTGACTCCCAGTGAGCCGCTTTTATAACAAATGATTCAAAGCCTCTATGAAACTAGCGTGCTTTCCATGGTTCTCTTAGCGCGCCATTCTACATCAGGCGTAGGCAGTATGCGAATGACTCCTTGGGGTCGTGCACGATGACATTGATTGCGTCATTCTTGGGCAAGGCTCAGCGATCAGGCCTCAGGTGCGAGTATCGATACAGTCCCCTCGAAATTAATGTCTGACCTCACCACCTCACGTCCCAGTTCTTCGAAACAAACCCTGGGTCCTTTGCCTCGTTTATACATCGCCACTGCATCATCGCATCAATTTCGGATATATGGGCGGATTCTTCGTTGAGTGGTGTAGAAAGAGAGCTGGACGGACAGATTTATTTTCCTGTTCTATATCGCCAGTTCCTTCATCCACCGCAAGCGCCTTCCCTTTAGCGCCACTTACGGGTCTGAAAACGTCTGCGTCCGGTGCGTGGTTGGTTGTCTTTGCCACAAGAGCGGATACTTTGTACACAGTGCCGTCTCCTTCCTTCGTCCTCGTAGTTTCGAATTCGGTAAATGCAGCATCACCTCTATTGCCCATCTTACCACCTCTCAATCACCTCCTTTGACTCTGATCCTTGTGTTTGTTGCAAGTTCTCCGATGGATTATATGCGTGTGAGAAGATGCTGGGGCAGGTTGTGGGATTGATACATGCTACGTAGATGGTTAGGGATACAGTGGTGGGCGACGAATGGGCGTTTCCGAATATCAGTATTTCCGTCATTTGACTTTGTGTGACCATCTACAAACAATAATCAGTCCAGTCGCCCATCAGGAGAGAGAAGCGATAGGCAGAGTATGTTTTCAAAGTAGACATGAGAGAATGTGACGGATGGATGAACGTACCTGTAGGATTTGAATAGAGTAACTGAAAACGCTGGGTATGGTAAACGACAAAGGCAGAAGATGGTATAACGAGGCGGAGAGTGTAGACTTGAATGCCTGAACCGGAGCAGCGTATGTGATGAGCATGTCGTATATTGCAAATGTCGACTGAGAGTCACGGAATGTGACCAGAGACAGATGATTCTTGGCGCTTCAGCTGCACAGCCCATGCTGTGAAGGGAACACGAGGATAAAGCATGTACAAAGTACCAAGAAGCAATTGGGGATTCAACTCTTCCTTGACCAAAACAGTCATTATTCCCTGCTGCCCGCCCATCGCTGCTGTCCTTGTAAGTGCTGATTTTCGAATGTGATCGATGAAAGCTGAAATGGTGCTGGACTTGGTAGTAGGCATGGTTGCATCCACCACTAAACCGAAAGAGACATTAGTAACTACGCCTCACCAGAAATTTGAAGGACACACTGATCATGTCTTGCGTGTCATACACCTGCCAGGTGGACAGCGGATCATCACTTGTTCATGGGATGGCTCGCTGCGAGTGTGGAACTTGAAGAGCGGGAAACAAATAGGAGAAGACTGGAGAGACGGAGAAAATGAAGTGGTGAGTATGGCGTTGTCTCCGGATGGGAAGAAAGTGGTTAGCGGGAGTGATAATGGAGTTGTGAGATTGTGGGACATCAACACCTGCAAAATCATTGCGAAATGGACGGGGCACACAGACAAAGTGTGGTCTGTTTGCTGGAGTCAAGATGGTCGGAGAGTGTTAAGCGGATCTGTTGACGGGACTGCAAGGCAATGGGACGTGGAAAGCGGAGAGATAATCCTCGCAATCGTGACGGGGCATGAAGAAGTGTGGGCCGTCATCTACTCACCAGACATGACCTTGATTGGGACTGGTGGCCGTAGCCACCGATCGGAGAGGTCCTCAGGGACTGAAAAACGCGAGTGCTCGATTCAAATCTGGGACACAAAGGCAGGCAAGCTTGTTGCTACTCTCAAAGGACACACACAGGAAGTTACTTGCCTGGCTTGGACCAAGGACAGAAAAACGCTTATCTCCGGATCATTCGATCACTCGATTAGGACGTGGAACACAACCAAGTGGGAACAAATCGCAGTGCTGGATGAGCACACTGATCCTGTCATTGCCATTGCAATATCACAGAATAATCGCATCCTCGCAAGCGCATCGTCAGACAAAACAGCGCGATTGTGAAACCTCGACAATGGACAACCCATTAATTGTTCATCCCTCCAGCACGCAGGGCCAGTGTACTGTGTGTCATTTTCTGCGGATGGAAAGCGATTAGCTACTGGCTGCTGCAACACAAAGGCGTACACATGGGATGTTGCTGCAATCCTTAGAGAGGCTGGCCTCGACGACCTTCATCAGTAAAACACTTTTTTTCCCACCACCAAAAAATGGCTGGCCACAGCTTGGTCCCTTCTGTACAGAGCTGTACAGAGCCCACAGAAGCAAAGTGATTTGCTGATGTTCTTTTGGACCCAAAGATGAGTTGACAGGCATGTCTCATTGTATTGCATTCTCACAACTAAACGTGCTCTACCAGGCCAACAAGTCGGCACTCCATGTATGTGACACCTTCATTAAAGATCTCCTCGTGCTCAACATATATATTCTAGTCTGATGCTACACGACGTCCAGTCCAGCGACGTCCGCCCGCTTATCGGACACCCCAAGGTTTTTTCGATGGAGTCCCACCGGATGGTTCTCGAGTATGTTCTTAATATTAGTGTCGTTTTTTTCTTTTTTTGCAACTTCGTTTTTCCAGTTCTCTGCACAAAGCCGCCCCCGCTCCTCCTCCGAACCGCAAGAAAGCACACTTCTTCGTCACTTATTCCACCTCAGCCCCTCCAATTCTCATGATACGTCACTGTCCTCCCCTCTCGACTGGGCTCGAAACCTTTTGAATCGGCGCGGACGAAGTGGTGAAGGCACTGAGTTGCAAGGGCGCAGCCAAGTCGTTGAGGTTCCATATGCAAAGGGTAAACGTGTATGTTCTTTTTTTTTCTCGGACGTTCAACTCCATCTAATATCACGTAGAGAAATGCTTGCGCGAGGGAGAAACGGAAAAGACCATTGCCCTCGAAGAACTCTACTACGGGCAGCTCACGGCCTCAAAAGCCCAATGTCACCCAGGTATCTTCGCAACCACAGGCTGCAGTCAGCAGTTCATCCACCACACCTGATGTTGGCAATGCTACCGCAGCTACAGCTTCAACGCCCTCCCACCCTCATGCCATGATAAGACACCCTGGACTCTGGACTCGCTTCTGGCTCTTTATTGGTTGTATTTCTCTTGAATACACAGATGATCGCCATTAGCCCATGATTTTCTCATTATTCACAAGCTGCATGTCTTTACATCTCTCGACGGGCTCTTGTTGATGTGCTCTACCTACTCCCTCTGATGTATTTTGAACCGTCCTTTATGTATGATACGGATACCGAGACTGCACTAAATCTTTACCTGCGCTATGATTGCCTTTGCGGTGACCTCCAACCTCATATTTATCTTGTCACTGGTACACAATGTACGACAATGGTAACACGAAGTGAGCGTGGACGAGATAGACAACTTGCTGAATGGAGTCAGACACGATGTGCTCTCGTATTCGGATTCAGAATCCAAATCCTCAATCTGTTGTCATCGTAGAACACCCCGTAATTCATGGTGGGAGGGCAAGTAAGCACAATGTTTCCATGAAAATTCTCTTTCAAGATCCTCTAGCCGGCTGCTCAATGTCGAAAGGCCAGTCCCTCGCAGGGTGTGAAGCAGCGGGAACATGTCATGTTCTCTAACCCCGAGTGCGATGAAGAGCTTGAGGACATGGTCTCGCGTTCCAGGGGTTCAATTCTTCCTTTGTCAACGCGAATTGCAGTCATGGAGGGAGAGGCCGGACATGCATCGGGGGGTGCATCATCAAGGTGTATTCTGGTAAGTATGCAGTATATTGGCGCATGCTTGATATCATGGAGAATTCTGCACGTCAAGTGATTCATATCATGTTGGCACGCACCAACTTTGTAGAACGAGGTATTGACCAGCTGTGTGAAAAGCCAATGAAACATCTTGGTTTGACGTTTCATCTGGCCCTCCGACGAGCCATTGATCCTAGGCATTGCAGAAATGTCATGAAGTACTCATCTACATGATCTTTAACAGTAGTTTTGGATGCAGGTCAGAGGGTTTGGCTGCTTCATGAAAAAGAGGCCAAATACAGACTCAGTATCATTAGCGGTACTGCGTTGCATGGATTAGCCCATAATGCGTAGACCCTGTGATTGTGATAGGGTCCAGTTGGTTGAATATAAGGGTTTGGTGTCGCAGGAGAGTGAAAGTAAGTGATTGAAATTCAAAGAAACCTGAGAAGGGGTTACTACGGCCCGGCCCGGACAGGCACAAGCATTGGCTCCGAGTCAAGAACTTTGGAGCAGAGCTTGCTACATGATCATGTACTTGTACCGTTTTATACCCTCCAAAACACATTTCCGCATGATGCCACCAAACTATGAATCCTGGTCAAAAGAAGAACTGATCACGCGTCTCGGAGAGCTGGAGGCGAAAAAGCACGCTCAGTCAACTCACTCACCAACACGAAAAAACCATTCCCACCCGAAGGGCAAGATCGCTATCAAGTTCTGTTACTTACTTGGGGTGGGAGTATAATGGGCTGGGGTATCAAAACGGTCCAACACCTCTTCCAACGGTCGAGGATGTCTTGTTTAAAGCCTTCGTAAAGCCTTGGCTCATCAATGAAACTGGCAGTTTGGAAGACTGTTGATGCGAGAGATGCAGGAGGACAGATCGATGAGTGAGTGCCGAGCAATTACAGGCGTGAATCTGATCACCCTATTACTCACGAGTAACCCAGGCGAGAGTATGAACTTTTCAAGTTCATTCTTGTGATATTTATAATGGAGAGGTAGGAGAAGTCACTGTATCAGATCTCATGCGGATATCCATCACAGACGTCCAATCCATGGTATCGATACAGTTCCTTCAATATCAATGTCTGACCTTACCACCTCATGTCCCAGCTCTTCGAGACAAACCCTCAGCCTCGTTTATGCATTGCCACTGCATCATCACATCAATTTCGGATATGTTGGTGGAGTCTTGCATGGGTGGTGCACGGGCGCAATGACAAGAGGCGGAGATGTATGTAAAAGGAGGGTGTTATGGAAGGGTACCTTGCCGACGAATCGTACTCGATCGGGAGAGACCCGGCTGTGCCACACCAGTCTACTGTTGGGAATCGCCGACTACATCATGATCATATGCCGTCGACGACTGGTTAAACGTTCACTAGAATAATATAAATGAACCAGCAGGTGTAGAGAAGTCCTAGGGCATCGCGGAACTGCCCTTTGTGCAATGATGTCATGGCACATGTATTTCTGGACGTGCCTGGCGTTGATCAAATGGTTTTACATCATGTGACCGGCGCGTCTCGGACGCGTCGAATATCGACAACCAAATAATGTCAGCCGCCGTGCTGTCTTATATAAACCTCCTCAGTCGTGTTTCACTCCCTCATCCACTCTTTCTCTTTCTCTTTCATCTTCACAGCTTTTTTTCATCTTCTTGCGTGATAATCTCATGCCGGATGTTGGAGCAAGGTATGTGGCGTGCGACTTGGAGGTACATGGCATCCTAATGACATCTTGTCATTCCGCCACCAGCGCTACTTTGGTCCTGCCCGCCTGACGCCACATGGTATGTTTCTTGCTCATAGTGCTCCGTATATGTCTAACTTTCTCTTAATCGCGCACAGGTCTAGCGGCGAGCTTTCACAAGACGCAAAGTGTATGTTTTGTTCTCGCTACATTCTTACCTGCCTTACTAACCGATGTCGACCGCTCAGGTGTTGAAGCAAACCTCCAAGATTCAAGAACGCAACAAGACAACATAATGGAACGATACAATATAGCTGCTGCCCTTCATGGGCGTCGCTCGCGGCGTGGACGGCACAGTGGACAGGACCTGGGTCCGCCCGATCCTCTTCAAGTGCGTCTGCTGGCCACATTCGCCGGGGCTCTCGGGTGTTCGATACCTCTCCGCCCTGTTCACCTCCTCAGCACCTCCTCGGTCGGTTGCACTGGCCCGCACCATGGATCGGGCACCCCGGCCCACGTCAACTCAACACTCTCGATGTTCGTAGGTTCGGGCACGAGACGAGAGGGTACGTTCCACTTTAATCTTATAGCCCGCCGCTGACATTACGCAACCTTCAGGGCATCGGTGGTCGCTGACATCCAGGTCGGGACCTAGTGGTGGCTCGGGACGTGGAACGTTGGCCCTGTTCTGCAGGCGTTGCTAGCGTTCCATCCCGTTTGCCCCTCAGTGCCCGCCGGGTCCGGGGTGGCATCGTCAGAAATCAGTCTGCTTCCTCGGCGCCAAGAGCCGAGGTCGTCAGCGCGAGTAAGTCCACCCCGGTTTAACTAAATAAACCCGATACACTGGTGACAAACACGTTCCGGACAAGAGGAGAAAGGACTATCGCGACCCAGGTAATGGGGAAAGTTGAGTAGTTCCATTTCCTCACATTATGGTTGGCCTCGAGACTGGAGCATCAGCTCGAGACGCCATACTTTGATATTGAATGACCTCGTCATTCAATATCATCGCATGGAGTCTTGATGAGCTGATCTTACACTCGACGGCTTGTTCTTCTGAAATGTTCTAGAAATCGCAGCTACTGCAACTACAGACCACGTTGTGAGGAGAGGCGACTGCGGATCTGCATGCAGAACACGCACGGGTCTTAGTATAATTGGTGGGAGCACTTACGTGAAACATTCCTCAACGAAGTGACTCCGCCTCCACGAGGAGCACCGTCCTCATTGTCTTGGGACGCTGGATGCAGCAGGATGACGGTGGCAGTGGAGGTACATACTTTTGGCCAGGACAAGTGTGATGAGGCGTTCCGCAGCTCACGTCGACGTACATGCGATGAGCTGCCACTGGTCTGGTCATCCATACACTGGCAAGGCAAGCAATTCTTTGCTGTCAGAAGTGGCAAGCTGGTGTTTTCCTGGGCAAGCAGCTCGAATAGGAGCATTAACAGACTCGATTACAGGTTGATACTCAGCCACAACAGTGAAATGACGTCCACTACTATACCAACCGATAAACTTGTTCGAATCCAGTATGCAAGACAAGTGTCGTTGTTACAGCCATGAATGAGGACTGAACTGGTGTCCAATGTCCTGAGGTGGGACCACCTCTTGGAACTGTGGCATCCAGGAGCTGACTGAGTGACAAGATAAAATCAATGGCTGGTAAAATTATACATACCACAAAGCAACGCGAGATGAGCTACACACCATTATGAATGAAAACAATCCGCTGCTCGAGTGGCACTTTCTTCTTCACAGCGTGCGTGGTATGGTTCAGTGCCCTTGCCGCCCTCGTACAGTCCATGACACTGTCCTCCAAATCTTCGAACATGTTCTCATAAAAGCTTCAACAACGTGCTCTGCGACAGCGTCGTCGACCACCCACAGAGTGCCGATGACACTCTTGAACCCTGAAAACTGCAGACCAGCCGCAAGGTGGATGACTTCGTCGGGTGTTTCTTCATCGCCAACGGCGGTATGACACGCTGACAAGAATGCAAATTCAGCTTGTGGAGCATGGTTCTCCGTGATATCAAGCAGCGTGAGAGGTTTATCCTTCATGGAAAAACGTGAATTGTAAGGCTGATCGTGGTCTTGACTCTTGCTTGCCATGGCACGCGAGGTGCACCCAAGTGTTGCATCGTAAGGCATCGAGTGTGGTCTCGTCACCAGCAATACTAGTGAATTTGACATTGGGAGGAACGAGTTTACGGACAAGCTTGGGCTCACTGTTGACAGCGGCGAGCACCGTGCCTTGCCCTGAACCCGGTTGACTTTGTCCGATCGCTGCAAGTGACGGAATGTCAGACGTTTTCATCGCTTGTCGAGATCTCATCAAAGCCGAAAAAGTTGGTGTGTAAGAGCAGACGTAGATATCCTCCAGGCATAGTTCCCGCCCAGAGTGATCTGCCTTCATCCGAAAGGGGTGAGCTGCATGGAGAGAAATGAATGTGAAGGCTGCTGTCGGACACAGCCATATTCGAGACCGGCGCCGTAATTTTAGGTCATGCTGAAGAACATTGACGATGGGTAGCATGACCTCGTCCCATACCTTCTGTAAGAGTACTATTAAATCCGTCCTCGACTCATTTGGGCCCATACGATACATACTTAGTTACAGGAAATCATCGCTACAGAGAAAAGAAGTTCTGACAAAAAGGGTGTCCTAATGGAAATGCACACATCTGAATCACATGGATGTTCAGTGGGAAGCTTCATCATCGACCTCTTCAACAGGAATATCTGTCACCACTATTTCTTCAATCATATCCTCGGTCCCACCATCATCCAAAATCTGATTGCCTGCCAGTGAAAACCCTAGATGACGAGCAATGCGTGTGCGTATACGGGAACCAGGCAGTCCAACAGCAAATTGCACTAGTTACACAATCAACCAAGTCTATCAAATTATTATTATGACGGAGTTGCGTACCATCCAAAGGGCCACTCAGATTAAACTGGAGGGGGAAGAGTGTGGCGGAAGTGATTGTCTGGCTGTTCGAAGGTTGAAACCACCTTGCCCAATTATCCGACCACATGGGGCAGGCAAAACGCATCCCAATTATTTGGCCCGAATTCCCGATTCTATATGTAAACCATCCCTCGGAACCAGCAGGGCCTGCCAGCCATTAGCTCTTAGCTCATGATATGGAGGTAGATGACATACCAAAACTATCTCGGAGTAAAATCTCGGAACTCAACCGACCTGCAGGCACAGATGGAGGGGGATTACGACCAGTTGAATAGTCCCATTCACCATCAACTGATCGCTTCGAGACAAGAGTCAGATTAACTGAAAGACCGTTCAGTATACGAACGGTAGAAGAACGGTCAATTCGTGGCTGAGGTTGAGAGGACATCCAGGAAATAGACACCCTGCGGCAAAGTCTGGAACTTCTAGGTGTTTATTCAGTCGGAGTTTGGGCGATCAAAGGACGAGAGATGGTAGCTAGTTGAGTGCAAAAGGCCTGTGATGCGAGACCTGATTTCGATGGTACTTACCGTCTCATCGGGCTAGACTAGCAGTTTATATACCCTAGGACCTGTGTGCACTGCCGCACAAATAAGAATATCAGTACTATTTAACGCAGTAAAGATGACTGGGGGGATAGGGGTCTTATCAGCTATCGTGTAGTGGCAACACTTTCCCAGTCGAAACCGGGCGAGCGGCCAATCTGACACATGTAACCAAACATCCCCCATATAACTGTGATAACACACCTTCCAACAGTTTCCTATCTCGGGCCGTACCAACCGATCCACCTCGAAGATAATTGAAAATGAAAGATGCCATATCGGACAGTAATGCAGCCATCTGTGTCCAGACTCCAGTCGGTGCAATTGACTGATAGCCACATCTGCATCCATCGGTGCTAAATGACGTCCGTAACAGGCTCCAAGGTCATCGCGGTGCGCTCAACTCGAATGCTCTGGAGTTGGACATGGAGTGCTAGTAATTTGGGGCTAATCCAAGTCAAGAATACGCAGAGCGATGTTAAGCCGAGAATGCAGAGCCATACCAAGAGAGAAGATGGACAGTTGGACCCAGATGACCGCGATGGGCGATGTGCTTATCGATAGTGCTTATCGATATACTTCCGAAGTATGATGTAAGATATGTGCTGTTGACTCTGAAGCATTCCTGCCATCTTGAGAGCGAAGCATTGACTCGGTAGTTGCAGATAGCCCGGGAGTTTGGCACGGATTTAGGGGAGGGAGTTGGTATAAACGTGGGGCCAAACGTGCAAATTGCTGTAGTTGAGAAGAATTCGGTAAGATTATGACTGCCCAGGCGGAGCATCCGCGCAGCACAACGAGTCGCTACAGATAGATTAGGTGGCCAAATGAAGGGCACACCGGAGAAAAAACATACTCAGAAGACAAATTGGGACCGATGGCATGGTCAAGATGGCGAAGGGTACGGTGCTTTCTGAGGTGACAACCTAAGGTAACGGTTCGTTTCAAAATCAAGGAGATCTCCAGAAAGTGACAGCTTGGGCAGGAAGCACTTCGTAAACTCTCTGATCATCACTGTCGAACGCCTTGCACAGACGACAGACATCTTCTCCTCAAACGTTAGCACAACTCTCGCATCTATTACGCTGCTTGTAGGAAACTGATCACCGCCGTTGAGCGCCTCTCGCAGAAAACCGACACACTCCTCCGATATTGGCGCAACTATTGCGGCGGCGTGCGCTGCTCGTGGAAAACTTGATTGCGACGACGAATACGCTAGCATTGGACGTGCATTACCTACTGCAAGGTTGCATCGCTCTTGCTGTGTCGCTGTGCCTGTTGACAGTCCTCTGTATCGTACGCTGGTGCTACACATTTAGAGAGTTCTGGGGTGTGCAGCATCTCAAGACCACGTAGACTTACACATATCAACCAATTATCAGTTTCCACCACTGACAGCACTGTTGCGTTCATCGATTCAAGCGGAAAATGTCATGAGAGGCCAGAATTTCAACGGGACTGGTGACGTGGCCAATGCAGGTGTTATTGGCAAGAACTTCAGAAGAGTCACGATACCGGGCAGGACTCGGAACTGCCAGTGGCGGAGGAATTGTTCTGGTACTATACTTATGTACCGCATACATAAACTCTCATCAACTATACACACGAACATCACCACAACATCGCATTGAATTGATTCAAACATCAACTTATTAGCACTTCCAATCAAACCCCGAATCACTGCATCTTCTTATTCGAAAACTTGAAAATAAGATCCGTGAGCAAAACCAGGAGACACCGAAAACCAGTAAACACAGAGTAAAAACGCCAACACTCACTACAGTGACAACAGTCCCGTCGTCCAATCTCTCCTTCCTCGGTACAAGCTCATAGCCAAATACCTTGGGCAGTACGATTCGCCATGCAGCCCAGTACAGCACGCCTGCGAACATGACGGCGATTCCGACGAGGCAATACCTATAGAATGAGAATAAGGACGCGTGTATAAGTTCTGGTGAAAGAAACGTACAGGTAATATGGTAGTGGTGGGGTGTCGCCGACGCCATTGGCTGGTTTCAGGAAGGGAGCGTGAGGACTGTTTGGTCAGAGAAAGAAAGTGTTGAGATTGTAGATTGGTAACTCACGGAAGGCAGCAGCCGCCAGGAAGAATACAGCAAGAGGCCACCATACTACATCATA